TGTGTGAGGTCCAAATATGCGGGTTTCACCCAATTTTGGGTCGATCTTGAATGCCAAAACCCGGGGCATCGTTGTTGTGCCATAATCGCAGATTGTTCACCGATCTGGGACCCGATCGTCATTTGGGTCACGTTTTAGGTGGTCACGATTTATTCTGCCCGTGACACTAGCTATATCTCAAAATTTTCCAAAAAATGATCATTACACAATTTTACCTAACCCTAACACTAACCCTAACCCTAACTAATCGTAACTTTATTTAAAATTTGCTATATCAAAATTTTACTAGGGTATCCCTGTTGTGTAACTAAGTAAAAATGCTTCTCTCGCAATTTTACCTAACCTGAACCCTAACTCTAACACTAATACTAACCCTAACATTAACTCTAACACTAACTCTAACACTAAGTTTTATAGGGGGGTGCAATGTATTGCACCGTGCAATAAATTATAAAATCCAAAAAAATATAAAAATGTATAAAAAATTTAAAAATATATATATAAAAAAAATTTTAAAAAAAACATAAAAAAAGTAAATATATATATATAAAATCTTATAAAAAATTAAAAAATAAAAAAAAAACATAAAAATAACATAAAATAATTAAAAAAATTAAAAAATTAAAAAACAACAAAAAAAAACATAAAAAACTTTAAAAAAAATATATAAAAATTAAAAAAAATAAAAATTAGAATATAAATAAGCTAATTCGGGTTCGTTTGAACCCAAAATGGTCCGTTAGAACCCAATTAGGGTTCGTTAAAACCCAAAATGGGTTCGTTAGAACCCAAAACGGGTTCGTTAGAACTCAAAATGGGTTCGTTAGAACCCAATTCGGGTTCATTAGAACTCAATACGGGTTCGTTAGAACCCAAAACGGGTAAGAATCCAAAACTGGTTTGTTAAAACCCAATTCGGATTCGTTAGAACCCAATTCGAACCCAAAAACGGGTTCGTTTGAACTCAATTCGGGTTTGTTTGAACCCAAGATGGGTTCATTTGAACCTAAGATGGGTTCGATTAAACCTAAACTAAAAACAAAAAATAATTTGAACATTGAACCTGGGCAATAACTGGATCCTAAGAGTTAATATAATTTAAATCTAAGAATTTAAAAAAAAACTTAGAACATCGAACCCGGGCAATGCCGGGTTATAAGAGCTAGTTAACTATATATTATATCATTGTATAATTGCTGATAAATTGCTACGTATATGCGTATGGGTGTCTAAATTATTTTTGAAAAATCGCATTTTCGGCAAACATTTCGGCATTGACAAATTTTTTATATGAAACCCTTCGAAATAACTATATTGTATGGTGTATTTTGATGAAGAGTTCAAAAAATTTCGGCAATAATTTTGGCAAATATGAAAATTAATTTCGGCACTATATAAGACTAATTTCGGCTGCCTAAATGCCGTAATTACTTTTTTATTAAGATGGGCAATTTAGGCACCCATGTATACGTACATATAAAGCTTACTTTATAGCTTTATCTTTCTATAAAAGCTATCGGCATTTTCATATGTAGTAGCTCCGGTTTATATTCTAAAATCCTCCTATTTGTGCCAAATGTCTATTTAGATCGTATTTTAAATTTACTTGCAATGCTAATAAATAAATAAAATATATCTATAATAGGCATTTAATAAGTAGATATAATAGTTGTACGTATAATTTAACTTGTTCTAAAATTATAATGAAGGTTGTCGATTATTTTAGTATAGTATATAACACTATATAAAAAATTCTATTTGTTAATCTTCAATCTTTTTTGCTCGTGCGTTGTAGATTATTTCTATGTAAGTTTAAAGTTGAATTTATTTGAAAATTGAGAATTTCATGATGTCGATTACTCAAATTTCATAGTAAAAAATTTATTCGAGTGATATCTCGATCGACTGATACTGTTATATATAATAAATTATATCTTTAGCAATTATACCTCAATAACTAAATTCAGTAACGATTCTCATAAGTCTCTCCTAACAGTAACTAAATTCAGCAACGAATATCATAAATCTCCCCAAGTCGTAACAACACAATTATTTAAATTTTATATAATCTAACGCTAAGTAGTATTTTCCATGGCATTGTCAAATGATAAACGTTGACATGTGAAATTTATTCCAATCAGATTACGAATTTGCACACATAAATTCATTTTTCACAGAACCATCATTCCAATCCGTTCATCACGCGTACTTTTTAAACAAATATTTTAGATATTTAAAAACTTTTACTGTAAAAATTAAATAAACGAGTTTTTTTTATTATAATATTTGCCTTAAAGCAAAGAGTTCTTTTCAGATAATTAAATCAGTTTGTTTTAATATTAAAATGATGAAAAAATTTATTATTATTACTGTATTCCTCTTTTTGACAAGCTTAGGATCCACCATTCCATCAAATATTGAGTCAAATATCCCGTCAAATATCTTACAAACATTAGTTACAAATATTAACATAACATCAAACTGTTTAAGTGTATTGAAATCGTTTCCTTTTGATTCCGACTTTCTTAAATGTGTCCCAGAGGATGCTTTTAAACACCTTGTACCTATTATTCATAACTATAAAGCTATTGAGCAAGACCCCAATACAATACGAAATTATTATGACAATATAACATCATTCCGTAATGCTTTATGTCAAGCACCAAATTGCTCTAGTGACAATAACAGAAATGTAATTACGAAGTTTGCTGGTGGATGTGAAGTGGATGTTGTCCAAAACCACAGCCCACTGGTATTCTTTTATTTTATCTTAAGTCCTTTAAAAGAGCTTGGCCTCTGCAGCAAAGGCTTTCATCTACCACCAAAATAAAATTATGTATAGCCATCGTTATTACAAATTTCATGCAACAATCTACTTTACATGACAAATTAGTTAATCAATAAATTCTTAATTTGAAAATTCACTATTATAAAATGGTCAAATCAAAAGTTGGATTTACAATCTTCTAATTAGTTTTCTAATTTTAGAGCATTCTACTCAAAGAATTGCTTTTTTTTTAATTAAAAAATATCTATTTAATTTATAATTCTAATTTTAGAGCATTATAGTTTAAAGAATTTTTTTTTTTTTATAATTAAGAATTTCCATCAAATTTATTATTCTAATTTTTAGAGCGTTATAATTCAAAGAATCGTATTTTTATCTAATTAAAATATCTATTTAATTTATTATTCTAATAATGAAGATAAGTAATGCTTATACGTATATCGAATAGGTGTAATACCAGTAACGGAGTAATATCAATAAGCTTTGTTTTGATCATGTAACTAGGGATGAGTCTTTTATGGAAAATGATAATCACATCTCCCTAGAATCTACTTATTTGTGCGAGTGGTACAAATCCAAAAAGGGAAATTAGCCAATCGGAGAACGTAAAATGTGATGATCCCGGATCAGCCCGACACGTGAGCAAAGCGAAGAAAACACAAAACTAGTGTTTAAACCGACCTTGCTGAACTAATAAAAAATAACGGGGATGAAATTTAACAAATAAAAAACTCAAATTATCACTAAAGCTCACAACCCTAACACTAACCCTAACGTCTTAATCCTAAACTTTGTTAGTTTATTTACAAAATTTGATTTCCTTTTTTAAATTTGTATCACTCGCACAAATAAGTATTTCGAAAAGGCGTGACCTCCGAAGATCACAATGTCGCGTGAAATTCAGAGATCTGCACATTTTAAGAATCAAATAAATATAAATATAACTGATCGAAAATATGAATTAATAGAAAATTTAGAATCTCGGAAATTTTCCTTTTTCATCATCACAAAAATCATGGGGTCACATCTTTTTTGCAAAGTGAACATAGCGGGCTTTACTCGATTAGATGATCGACACAGTATGTTACACAATATGTTCCACATAGTGGCGTAACGTTT